CCATTTGCAATTGCGTAAAGCGGCGCGGCCGTGTTGCCCTAATCCCCCCCAAACCTTGTCGGAGCGGGACGCTCCAAAGGGAATAACCAGCAAACACAGCCTTAATCTGTGGGGCAATCGTCCGAGTTATGTTTGAGGCCAGCACTGGAGCAGAAAGAGAGCCGGCGACCTATTTTGTGGTCGCATGACGCGAGTTTCGCTGTGGCTTTTTGGTGACCCCCCCCCCCCCCCCCTCTTAATTGTAATGGCCATTCGCCGTCCAAATCCCATGCGTTGTGTAAACAACAGGACTGGGTTCTAGATTTGAAGCTTTCGTGACTGCAAGGATTCATATTCTTAGGTTTTTTCGGTAAAGCCACGTAGGTAAAACATCAAAATTAATAAAAATAAAATAAAATAAAGATCACGACGTGTTGCCTCCGAAACGTCGTGATCTTTATTTTATTTTATTTTTTATTAATTTTGATGTTTTACCTACGTGACTTTACCAAAAAACCTAAGAACAGGACTGGGTTGAACAAAGGCGGTCGTGCTGCTGTGACCAGCACCGTGCTCTTGTGTGCACGTGCCGGCATTCATAGGTGCTCGCTAACAGCTCTTGCCCCAACAGTCTGTTATGGCTATACAGGGGGGAGGCGTGGTGGGGGGGGGGGGGACTTTGTCTTTTGTTTGTCATCTCGATGCACAAGTGTTGGAAACAAAGATCAAAGACTCGCGCGCACACGCGCGTCCCACAATGATGGGGGGCGAAACCCACCACCGTGTGATGGATGCCACTGCGAGACACGGCGAAACTCGCTTGCCTGCCATCTCTTCGGAAAACAACAACAGCGATGCAAAATAAATTACCCACGCGGTACAGTGTGTCTTTTTTGTTGTGCCAGCGTGAACAACGTTGCGATATTCGTACGGGCGAGCGATTGACGGAATGAAGGCACATCTCGCGGTGTCGTGCAGATGAGAGGGCGCGGGGTTCGGGCGGTGCGGGGTATCGTGCACAGGGGCTTGAAAAAGTCACGGATATTTTCCGGAACGCTGCCAAGCTGGCTTGGGAATATGGATTATTATCGGTGTAAGGCACTACCACTAGAATACTTGAAAGGCGAGGTACGCCTATTGAAGATAATCCTAAAGGAGACCTGGTGATCTTAAGCACTTGTTTTTTTGTGTGCACATCACAGCCGTACAACAGTGTTCTTCACAGACTTTCAGAGGTTTGCCACTTTCGCCGATAAGACATCACCGGTGTGAGGGCCGCCACACATCTTACACCATTGGGTTTGCCATCTCGATGGGATGTGTTTTAACACGTGTTGTGTATATTGTTCGGGTGCCGCACGTGACCACACGGGCCTTTCGATGAACAGCACTGACGGAAACCAACGCAATGTGGTGGATGACAACATCGGGCGAGGATGCAGCGTATACCAAAACAGCTCTGATCCCGACTGTTCTGGTTTTGATGTTCGGCACTGGTCGTGAATGACTCTGTGTATTTGTCGTGGAGGTGGTGACAAGGCCGAGACGTAGCGCGTTTGGCCGCTTGCTGCAGATGTGCATAGGTTCGAGCCGAGCGGCCGCCCTGGTTAATATTGCGGGTCTGTTAACCGTAAATGCTGTACGCGCAGAGTGGACGTCGATGGTCCCGTGACGTTTTTCCACGAAAGTAGGCCACGTGTGCCGGTGTCAGGGTTCAAGTTGTACAATGTGTTGAACTTCTTTCGCACTCTACGTGGAACAACCGTGCTCATCGGAGGTGGCCAAACTTGAGCAACATTACCCCACACTGTCAGGGGCTCAACCACTTATCTCAACGGGGCAACGCAAGCGAGAACTGTGGGCCTCCCTCCTTTCTCACTTTTACTGAAATTGCCACGGATGTGTTTAACCCGTGTTCATCTATATGTAGGCTATATTTCTTGCTGTCATATTTTGTTTTGTTTTCCTGTTGATTCGGGGCCCCCTTGTGGCCGACTGGGCCCCTATGCGTCGCATCACGCTGCATACTCAACGGTTGCGCCCTTGCATACCGTGAAACCACTACAGACCTATACTCTCGTCTGTGAAACGAAGCGTCTTTTTGAAACAGCAGTGCGCTTTGAGAATAGTGCGAATACCAAATGTACAAAATAATCATTTGATTTGAAATGCGTCGGATGCGGCCCATTTTGCTGGTGTAGCCCCCCCCCCCCCATCCCACTCCCCTGCCCCCGTATGTGGAAATCCCTCACCAGAATCAGTGTCCTTGCCAGCACCATCCCACTCCATCCACCCAAACATCAGGGTTAGTCACACATCCTTAGCAGACACGCGCACACAGACAAAGATCCCGCTTATAGCCTTGACAGACTGTTGGGGCAAGTGCTGTTAGCAGGCACCTATGAAGGCCGACATGGCACACGAGGGTGTGAGTGGCCAGCACCACGCCCGGCCGCATTTGTCTCCCCAGTGGCGAAATTTACGCACCGCACCAGATTCTCATGTGAGGCTGAGTAGACCTAGGGGAAACCCAGGACCGGTTCAGATAATCGTCACCGGTGTTGGCGGTGAGCGGGAGTCGAACCCGTGTAGCCAGGTTCATAGCGCAGCGCGCTAACCGCTGCACCACCGCTCCCCACAGACGCACGCACACAGTCACGCACACAGACATGGCCATGCATGCGGTGTCGGGAGTAAACCGTGACGCACAGACTTTTACATTCTAAAATGGAGGAGTCTGCTTGAGCAGGGGGGGGGGGGGGGTGAGCGCAGTGATTGAGACTAAAGGGACGATACTAAAGGGTGGGAGGGGGCAATACTAAATTAGAGGGGACGATACTAAATGGAGAAGGGCGATTTGGGGGGTGGCCAACTGTCCGGAGTAATTCCTCCCGAGATATTTAAGGAGGCTCTCCGCCCTTTAGCGGCGCGACTTTGACTGCTGCAGCCACCAAGTCTTTGCGGATGAAAAAAGAAACCCCCCAACATCGCTCCGCGCAATCATCCCAACGCCGCGCGTCTAATCCGCAAGCCACTTTTACATTTGTAAACAGCATTTAACAGAACACGATCGAGCCACATGTAGCCCACCCCCCCCCCATCTCTCTCTCGCTCTTCCCATTAAGTGTCGCCGTAGTACGCACGTGTCTAGACATTTGGTTCGAGTGTCAAAGCGCACATCGATGGGTCTCCCTTGATCACAACGACGTGGTTGAGTGGTGGTGTACGTGGGCATACGCACTCATGCCGACACGGACAAAGACAAAGATCCCCCGTATAGCCTGAACAGACTGTAGGGGCAAGTGCTGTTAGCGAGCACCTATGAAGGCCGGCACGACACACGAGGCGGGGGGGGGGTGACCAGCACCACGTCCGTCCGCCTGTCTTCCTAGTGGCGATTTTTTTTCTCGTCGCAACAGGTACTAATTTGAGACTGAGTCGACCTAGGGGATGTCCAGGGGACTGGTTGAGATCATCGTGACGGCTAACCCCGAGGTGGTGTCGGCAGTGAGCAGGAATCGAATCGATCTCGGGTCGACGTGGTCGTAGCGCAGCGCTCCCCACGAACCCACTCTCCAACAAAAGACAAAGACGCCCCGTATACCCTTAACAGACTGCAGGGGCAAGTGCTGTTAGCGAGCACCTATGAAGACGGGCACGGCACACGAGGGGGGGGGGGTGGCCGGCCAGCACCACGCCCGGCCGCCTTTGTCTCTCTGGGTGTGATGTTTTACAAATCGTCCCGGTCAAAAAAGCTAAGCTGAGTCGACCTAGGGGAAGCCCCATGACCGATTCAAATGATCGCCACGGTTGGTTATCGTCGTTGTTGTCGTAGCAGCAGCAGCAGCAAAACAAATCGAATCGGAACTCGAGTCGAAGCGTTTATAGCGCAGCGCGCTTTAAACCACTACGCTACCGCTCCCCCGTGGCCCCGACGCACGCGGGCGTCCAGGTAGCAGCGCACCACGTGGCCACGCGGCAGGGGCAGCAGCAGCAGCCGTCACGTCCAGGTAGCTGGGCACCACGTGGCCACGCGGCAGGGGCAGCAGCAGCAGCCGTCACGTCCAGGTAGCAGCGCACCACGTGGCCACGCGGCCACTTGGCTGCGTCCCCGTGCGCAGCGCTCACAAGAAGAAGAGGTCTCCGTGCGTAACAGCGGCGTGCGCGCGTTCGCTCATCGCAGCGGTCAACGTCGCCGCCGCGGCCGCCGCTGCCGTCACTTTCATCGTCGACACTTTCGATCGATTCTTTTTACGCGTCGCTTATTTTTGGTTTGCCTCTCGAGTGTTTCGTTGGTTATTATCATCATCGCCGTATGGGTCGTCGTCGTTATTATTTGTCGTGTTCTTCGATCGAGCAGTGACCGCCCTCCCTCCCCTCTCCCCATCAACTGCCCTCGATTCGCACCGTGGTTGTCCCGGATCAGACACCGAGATCGCGACCCCCCCCCCCACCCCCTTGCTCTGCCGAGTGAGTTATCGAACCCCCCCCACCCCTCTCCTCTCCTCCCACCACCACCAACGTCGCTTCGCACGGCACCATCACGACACACGCACGCCACGGGGGGAACGCGCGGCTCCTCCTCTCCAGCTTCCTCCTCCTCCTCTCGAGCTCTCTCCTCCTACTCCTCTCCCACCGCCACCACTACCAACACCACCACCAACACCACCTCCTCTTCCTCCTCGCAGTGGATAATCCGTTCGGCCATGATCGGCGCCGGACACGCGTGTGCTTCAAAGATGGCAGCGCCCTTCCTGATTTGCGCCGTGTTCGCACTTTCTGTGTTGTGAGCCCCGCGCTCTGCCAGCCTCCTCCTCCCTCCTCTTCCCCTCCCCGCTCGCCCTGTGCCTGTTTGTGTCGGCCGCTGTGCCTCGAGCCCCCGCGGCTGGAGGGGAGGGAGGGAGAGACGCGTCCGTGCGACTCGCAACTGCGGACTCAGCTCGTGGGGGGGGGGGGGGGGTTGCGAGCGCTGCTGCGTCGCCACCGCCGCGTTTCTCAACTCGCTGCGTGCGACGACGACGAGGAGGACGAGGGGGGTGGTGGTGGTGGAGGAGGACGAGGAGGGAGGTGAGGGTGGAGGAGGAGGAGGAGGGAGGTGGTGGTGGTCGTCGCTTCCCCTTCCCGCTTCACTCGGCGGCTGCGACGGGGGCGGTCATCGCCGGACGCCGCCGCCGCCGTCTCGTCGCGACATCGGCCCGCGCCACCATCGCTCGCGTCTCCCACCAACTCCCCCCCCACAAGGACGCCTCCCCCCACCAACCCCCCCCCCCCCACGAGGACGACTCCCACCAACCCCCCCACGAGGAGAAGAAGGACGACTCCGAGCCGTCCCCTCGCCGCCACTTGGCCCGCCCTGCCGCCCGCCCGCTCGCGGCAAGTTTCCACTCGAACACTTCACGACACTCGCACGAATTCAAGCGGCGCAAGTCGCCGTCGACGCAGCTATCGCTACCAACAACCAACAACCACCACAACCAACACCGTCGCTACAACTACCACAACAACCACCACCACCGTCGTCACAACCACCACCACAACACCACCACCACAACACCGCCGCCGCCGTCGTCGTCGTCGTCATCATCGTCGTCGTAATCGGCGCGTCTCGCAACAACAGCGACGGCGGCTCTCGTAAGGCCTCGTGCGACCGCGTGATTCACGTGTCCCCCGTGGCTTTTGTCGTCGTCGTCATCGTCGTCGGGACGAGACGAGGGAGAGTCGATGAGGTTTGGGAACAGGAGGAGGAGGAGGCGTAGGGGAGGGAGGGCAACACAGCGCGCAGCTGAGCTGGAAATGCGTAAACGCGCTGCGCAGCGCCGCTGCGGTCTTGAGCAGGATGCCCGGGTGGCCTACACACTTTGCACGACTCTCTCGTTGAGATCGTCACTCTCGCAAGATGTGCGGGTGAACGTGTGGTGTGTGTGGTGTGTGTGTGTGGGACACGGCACTCCCCACATCATCAACACGTGCCTTGTCCACCGTGCACCTCCGAGTCGTCTAACACCGAGAGGAGGAGGAGGTATTGGGGGGTGGTGGTGGTGGAGGTTGTTACGATTCTCACGACTCGACGCCACGTTTCATCGTTGCGTTTAACACCGCCGCAGCTCTGGCCGTGGTGTGTGCGGGTTGGTGGTGGACAAGAACATCGGCACGACGAGGAGGAGGAGGAGGGAGGAGGGGAGGTCAACAACCACGCAAAGTCCACTGCCGTCTCGCAGCGTCCGTCAAGTTTTTGTCCCCCTCCTCCCCCCTCCACCACCACGTTGATCGGTGAGTTCGTGGTAAACTCGGCGAGGGAAACACGCAGTCGCTTCCGTGGCAAACATAGGGGGGGGGGGGGTGTGGCATCAAGGACGAACTGTAAAAGCTTTGAGTAGCGATACGCGCTTGGCACAATCGTGCGAAGCGCCCCCCCCCCTCTCCTCCTCCTCTGCGTCCGCGTGTCGCACAATTCAGCGGCGGTAGTTTGGTGTCGTTTAGGGATAAAGTTTAAGTTTTATTTCGCCATTGTGCCGGAGGTTACGGCCACGGTTATAACAGAGGCTGCTGCTGTTGCTGTTCAGTGCTCAGTGATGCATTTCTTGTTTGTGTTCAGCCACGGCGCAACCCTCTGCATATGGAGGAGCGGTGCGTAACTGAGTGCGCGGAAGATACGCGTGATAGCGATGGTGGTGGGGGTGGTGATCGTGATTGGTGATGATGACAGAAGCCTCGGTAGCTCGTCCTTCGTACACAACAGCACGAGCAGTACACGGCGTTTGTGTACTGTATGACGATCAGGTGTGTGTTATATAAAACTGCCTGCAGGGGGGGGGGTTAGAGGTCACGTTGTGTGCTTTCCCCAGTTCGCAACAGTGTGACCCCCCCCCCTCTGCTTGGGCTAAGCTATTAGAGATCGTGGCCCGAGTAAATCACTCACAATGTAAGGTATATTACCTGGGACCGGTGGGTGAGTTATTTGGGTGACACTCGTGGTGTTTGCACCTCGTGGGACGTGCTATGAGAGTCAATCCATGGCTTGACTTTATTTGGTAAAAATCCACACGACAGTGCAGTGGCATGGGATTATGTTAATAACAGGTCCTTTGCAAATCCACTGCTGGATGAAGGCCTCTACGCAACTTTCGGCCTCGGTGGTTGCTATTTGGTGATACTTCGCCGCGATGGTCACTATGGGTTGGTGAAGGGGTGACCAGGAGCCAGTTGATGTGTCACTTGTCACTGATGTTGGCCTGGAATCAAGAGGAGGTTGGTAATCCTCCTACGCCACCACTCCCCACGTTAAGAATATGATAGTGGTGGCCTAAACATGTTGGGAGTGAGTTTTTAAAAGTTCAAGTGATCAACTTGGCGTCAAGAGTTGGCGTCGGTTTTTGTTGTTCCATATTCGTTGGTGTTTTGAAGACTGGTGACGAACTTGAATCGACAATTCAACTTGGCACAAATCAAATAGCATTACAACCAGAGTGCACGACACGGGTTAGACATTTATGTAGATGAAGAGTGACTGAAGAATGACCTTTTTTGTAAACTTAGCTTGATTTTGATTGGTATAGTCGACAAGATTTTCAGAGGACACAATCCAAGCACACAATCATTACAACCAGAGTGCACAACACGGGTTAGATATTTATGTAGATGAAGAGTGACTGAAGAATTACCTTTTTTGTAAACTTAGTTTGATTTTGATCGGTATAGTCGTCAAGATTTTCAGAGGACACAATCCAAACACAATTGTGTGCAGCTTATGATGTGTATGATAGATTTAAAAAGCCAATGAATGCTCAGCCCAGTTGTGACTGGCAGTGGTCATCACCCATCATTGTAGGTTTGTGGAAAGGCAAGGCCAGAGGTAGTGGGGGGGGGACCACAGTTAAATTTCATCAGCCCAGTGTCCGTTAATATTGTAGCAATAATACGAATACTGGTGCTTTTTAAATGATAAATTCCCACGTGGTAATATGCCACTTTGATGAACTATCGTGTGTTGGCCACGTCACTTCTGAAAACAAGCTACAAAGCTCAGTAGGCTCTACCGAGTGAAATAAAATAGTTCACTTCATAGTTAACTGCAACTAAAACTGAATCCAGAAAACCCCCACCGAACCTCAAGACTATTTTTCTCATGTTGATCCCGCTGCATTGGGATGTGTTTCACCAATTCCATTAATGAGTGGCATGAGGAAGTAAACCAGAGAACTCGTGTAAAAAAAAAACCCCACACACACATGAGGGACCGACACTCAGCACTGCCATTTCCTGGCCACCTCTTCCCTCCTCACACCTACAACACCCGGTGTTTCCCAGGCACTCTCCCATTGCAAGCACGAATCAGGCTCATGACCTCGGAGATTCGACAAGCATTTGGCACGTTCAGGCCACACGCCCCCCCCCCTCCACCACTCCGGCCCCCTCAACTCACTCAGGCCACGGCACACAGAGTGATCACATGTCCAGGCGGTGTTAGTAAGGCACTCGTTTCGCGCCGTGCATTCATATGATTTGCGATATGAAGGCATTTGTTTTGCATCGTGTATTTGCTTCGTTTTGTCACCACGAAGCGGCGCTGCCGTTCTCCGCGCACATTCGATTACTTATCTTGCACGGTATCCATGCCGCAGCCTTCACCCTCCCTTAAAAGGCTTTCGTGTTCTCCTGGCAGGATTGGGCAATGTGGGGGGGGGGGGTGGGGTCGGCACGACCCGTGTGTTGAGAACCACTGGGTTCGAGGCAGGGCACCAGGCAGCTCCCTGTTCAGTGCAGGATTCACAAGGGAGGAAGGCACCAACTTAGCCTGGGGGTGTGGTGGGGGGGGAGACGCGGGGGCGGGTGGCAGACTGAAAAAGCCGCATTTGTAGGGAGAGGATGGGGGGAACCACAAAAGACCAGTCAGAAACATTTTGGAATCTGCCACCTGTTGGTCGGTCCTCATTCACCATAAACGGCTTACTTTTTCTTTTTTACGGGATGTGGGGACGCATTGAAACGAATGCGTGCAAAACTACAGCGTCAGACACCATACATTGACCGTGTTCCCGGTCGTGCATAGTGATCCGTCGATGTATTTGTGGATATAAATTCGCGGGGGTGCTCCGGGAAGCGGGGGGCGGGGGCAGTGGTGGTGGGGGGGGAGCGGCGGGGGCCACTTTCACTCACGACTCGCGTTAAAGGAGCTCAAAGGAAGCGGTTGTGTCGACTGACCGGTCACACGTGAGCACGCTCGGGGGACACCGCTTGTCGCAAAAAAAAAAATAGACAGAAAACTTGGTGATAATGCGCGCGGCGTGTGTGTGTGTGACCGCCCGTTATTCCGCGCGCGCTCGCGCGGGGAGGGAGTGCAAGGGAGCGAGCGTTTGATGGCTTCGAAAATCCCGATCAACAATGCTGATGGCGCGTCGCTGCCGTCGAGCCGAGTGCCTCTGCGGTGAATAGAGCTTTGACGGAAATTCAATGGGGGTGGTGGGGGGGTGGGGGGGTGCTTCGCTCTGTGTGCAAAACAAATTCACGACCGCTGCAAATTCACTGTGTCGCCAACCCGAGCCGCTGGGCACGAACGCGCGGTGCAAATTAACCCCGGGCAGGGCCGTGAGCGTCCACGCGGAGTTATGGCCTGGCGTGCCAGACCGGCTCGGTTACCTTGGCGCAAACGGCACGGCAGATGCGGGACGCCGTCATAATAATCATCGTCGTCGTCTTGTGCGCATGCGATGGTCAGAGCGTACTCACGCACCAGAGGTCGCAGACGGGTTTTGATTCCTTACCCGTACCCGTACCCGGCCGCACCAGGGTCGCAAATGGGTACCCGTACCTGGCCGGGTACGGGTACCCGTACGCTACCCGTACCCGTACCCTACCCGAAATGAGTGACAAACGGTTACTCACCGGTGACTCACGGCCTACCCGTACCCGTACCCGGCTGCACCAGGGTCGCAAACGGGTACCCGTACCCGTACCCGGCCGGGTACGGGTAGCCGGTTATCGGGTAGGGTACGGGTATCGGGTACCCGGTTGCGACCTCTGTCGCGCACGCAGGGTTTTTTCCCCGGTCAGTGGACGACCGTATATATGGGGCGCCACAGCGGCAAGATGTTAACTTTCTCGCCTGGTGTACAGGAGGTCGTGGGTTCGATCCCAACCCTGATGCCTGTATATTTTGAGTTTGCGTGTCTCCTTCCCTGTGGTCACATGGATTTTTCTCAGGGTCCTCCGGTTTCCCCCCTACATTTAGAATCAACGAGTGTTTAGAGTATTGGGCTGCTGTAAATTTCCACGTGATAAGCCACTTCGTTGAAGTTATCATTTGTGATAGCCATGTCGCTTCTGAAAAAGGGATTTATGGCTCAGTGGGTCTTACATGGAAAACAATAAATACA